GGAATGTAGGCAAAGCTGGACGTCGTAATTGCTTTTTGAGAGTTCACATTACGGCAGGATTCGGCACTAATCGATTCAGCCGATAACAAGTTGATGTAATGATGCAGCATTGATTTGGATGAGCTGTTTATAATGCCTTTCTGAGCTATATAGTCCTTCAGTTTGTTGCAGCAGTTATTTGAACTGACGGAATTCATAAATGTTGCAATTTCGTAATCATTGTTCTTGACCGTTCAAGCAACTTCAGACTCTGGAATTATATTTGGAAAAATTATCCAAACAATTCTAAATTTATTACACTTTTATCAATTCAGTTCTAAACCTTTCAATTTTGTCAATTAAATCATAAAACATTTACACATTTTTTCAAGATTGAATTTGGACACCGACCTTCCTACACGACACGATCGGCACAAACGTAAACAAATTTTTTATAATTTTTTTAAAATGATTGAATTTTTTTATAAATTTTATCTTTTTCCTTTTCTTTTTTTTTTTCGTTCATTCTTTTCTCTTTTTTCTATCAAATCCGGCTAAGGTTGTCTGCCAACCCTTGTTGGTCATAGGTAAGGGCCAGCCAACCCTCACTGACCACAAGCAAGGGCCGGTGACTCTCACTAGTCATTGGGCGAGTGTTGCGAAGCCCTTGCTGGCCGGTGACCACAATCGCATTCGAGATAAAGATGGTACTTGCAAGCGAAAACGATACGACGATACGCATGGGAGGTTCGAAGGGTGAGGGACAATCTTCGAAAGAAATCGGACCTTTGATACTCAAGTTAGCCCGCTGGAACTGTACGGTTCAAATGGAGACAGATTCGCTTGTCCTAGTCTCCCGGTTCAAATGGCGGATGTTGTCCAGTTGAAAGCAGAGCCAGAGCAGAGGAGCCGCCGTCGTCGTCCCAAACGGTAAATAAACGCCCGCAATGTCCGCCATTCCCGCTCCTCCCCTTCCTACTACTCACCCCGTCTCTGCCTCCTCTTCCGTCGTCCCACCCCGCCACCACCCTTCCCACGTCTCTCCTCCGCCGCCGGTACCCGGCAACACCTTCCCCATCACCACCTCCTCTGCTCTTCCTCCTCCTCCTCCTCCGCACCCTTCGCTTCCCACCCCTCCTCGCTCTTCATGGATCGAATCCCTCCGCTCCCACGCCAGATCCAACCTTTTCCGGGACGCCGTTTCCACCTACGCAGATATGATGGCTCTCGCCGGTATCCCTCCCGACCAGTTCGCTTTCCCTGCCGTCCTCAAGGCCGCCGCGGGCCTCCGGGACCTCAATCTTGGGAGGCAGATTCACGCCCATGCTGTTAAACTTGGGTATGAGCAATCTTCCGTTACCGTGGCCAATACCCTGTTGACCATGTATGACAAGTGCGGGGACATCGGGAACGTCTTTAAGCTGTTCGACAGAATACCTCAGAGGGACCAAGTTTCTTGGAACTCTATGCTCGCGGCACTGTGTCGGGATGAGGAGTGGGTTCTTGTGTTGGATTGCTTCCGTTCGATGGTGGCGGAAAATTTGGAGCCCAGTTCCTTCACTTTGGTGAGTCTGGCGCTCGCATGCTCAAACTTGCCGCGAGGCGATGATGGCTTAAAGCTCGGGAAGCAGGTTCATGCTTATAGTTTGAGGAAAGGGGATCGGAAAACGTTTACCAACAACTCTTTGATGGCTATGTATTCAAAGTTGGGAAGGGCGGGCGACTCAAGGGCTTTGTTTGAATCGTTTGAAGACCGTGATCTGATTTCGTGGAACACCATCATAAGCTCATTAGGCCAAAATGAATGCTTCTTGGAAGCTTTGATGCTCTTAGTTCGCATGGTTCGTGACGGAATTAGTCCTGATGGAGTAACGATAGCTAGTGTTCTTCCTACTTGTGCCCAATTGAAGATGTTAAATGCAGGTAGGGAAATACATGCTTATGCCTTGAGGAATGAGGCCTTGATTGGGAATTCTTTTGTGGGCAGTGCTTTAGTTGACATGTACTGTAACTGTGGGCGGATTAAAAGTGGTCGTCGAGTTTTTGACAGTTTATCTGATCGGCAAATTGGGCTTTGGAATGCTATGATCGCTGGTTATGCACGAAATGAACAGGATCATGAGGCTTTATCGCTCTTCCTAGAGATGGAAGCAATTTGGGGGCTTAGTTCAAATGCTACCACCATCGCAAGCATCTTGCCTGCTTGTGCACGCTGCGAAGCATTCTCTGTCAAAGAGAGCATTCACGGGCATGTTATAAAGAAGGGCTTGCAAAGCGATATGTATGTGCAAAATGCACTCATGGATATGTATGCCAGAATGGGGAAGATAGGCATTTCTAGAATTATCTTCGACAGCATGGAACTCAGAGATTTAGTTTCTTGGAACACAATGATCACTGCATCTGTTATTTCTGAATGCCACGAAAGTGCACTTGCTTTGTTAATGGAGATGCAGAGTAGAGGAAAAGATGCTAGGAAGGAGGAGGCTATGTACAATGATAAAAAAGTACATTTTTGGAAACCGAACTCGGTCACCCTAATGACAGTGCTTCCGGGTTGTGCTTCACTAGCTGCTATTCTGAAGGGAAAGGAGATCCATGGTTATGCCATCAGAAATTCATTAGCATTAGATGTTGCAGTGGGAAGTGCATTAGTAGATATGTATGCAAAATGTGGCTGCTTGTACTTATCGAGAAGAATGTTCGACCAAATGCCGGTTAGAAATATAATCACCTGGAATGTCATTATAATGGCCTACGGCATGCATGGCAAGGGTAAGGAAGCATTGCAATTATTCAACAATATGGTGGAGGATGGAGCTAATGGTGAAGGGGTGATGCCCAATGAAGTTACCTTCATTGCCATATTTGCTGCATGCAGTCACTCTGGAATGGTTGAAGAGGGAATGCAATTGTTTTACAGTATGAAAAATGAATATGGAGTTGAACCATCGCCAGATCATTATGCTTGTGTTGTCGATTTACTTGGTCGAGCGGGTCAAGTGGCCGAAGCCTTTCGGTTGATTGATTCCATGCCTACTGAATATGACAGATCGGGTGCCTGGAGCAGCTTGCTTGGTGCTTGTCGAATTCATCAAAATCTTGAGGTTGGGGAAATTGCGGCTATGAATCTCCTTGAGTTGGAGCCGGATGTGGCTAGCCATTATGTGCTACTGTCGAACATTTATTCTTCTGCAGGACTTTGGGACAAGGCAATGGATGTCAGGCGGAAGATGAAGGAAAGGGGAGTAAGAAAAGAACCTGGGTGCAGTTGGATTGAATTTGCGGATGAGGTTCACAAGTTCATAGCAGGGGAATCATCACATCCGCAAAGTCAGGAGCTCCACCGATTCTTAGAGACGTTATCAGATAGAATGAGAAAAGAAGGATACGTGCCTGATACTTCCTGCGTTCTGCACAATGTCAACGAAGAGGAAAAAGAGGCCTTACTTTGTGGACACAGTGAGAAGCTTGCTATAGCTTTTGGTATCCTCAACACTCCTCCGGGAATGACCATCAGAGTTGCCAAGAACCTCAGAGTATGCAACGACTGTCACACAGCTACCAAGTTTATCTCCAAGATAGAGGAGAGGGAGATCATTTTAAGGGATGTGAGGAGATTCCATCATTTCAGGGATGGGAAATGTTCTTGCGGCGACTACTGGTGAAGATCGCCTACCAAAAAGTCCACGAGAAAGAGTCAGACGATTGTGTTGAAGGTGTAGGGCACTCTCTCTCTGATCAAAATAACTGCTAGTCGAGGGAGACCCGTCGGTTCACTGACTTTTTGGATGTTGTGGAGGAGCAACATGATAAATGAGGGGAAATTCGAACAAGCTGTATCCTGTTGTTGTAGTTATAGTCCAAAGTCATTATATTGTCTATCAGAGTCTCACGTGCAAAGGCAGGTACCGTATTGCTTGTACATGTTTAGGATTTTCTCCATTCTTTCGCTTGGAGACTCTGTCCACGATTTATAATAAATCAAAGGTGCATGCTACTAATTGGCTTTTGGGAATTTGATGCTGATCAAGTAGTACATAATTTATTTCCCTCGTCTGTTTGGAAATGGGACTCTGCATAATTATATTGGTTTTCATGCTGTACGGTGGGATCATATATTCTTTCTTAGTAATTGAACTAATCGGCAACGTGATCCATCGCTTGCTCGTTGCGTGAGACTTTAACATTCACCATTTGAACTTTACATGTCATTGCCCCAAATAATCTCTAAACTTTGACCCAATATGAAATATGATAGCTGAACCTTTTAATTTATTCAACGTGGTCCATGAACTTTACCTCGATATGTAATGTGGTTCTTGATCCTTTTTTAAATTGTTCAATGTGGTCTCTAAATTTTTGTTGCATGTTCAATTTAATCTCTAAACTGTATGAAAATATTCAATGTTTGTCCTTGAACTTGAATCAATGGAATGACAGCATTGAAAATTTTCGTATAGTTCATGGACTAAATTGAACATATACCAAAAGTTCAAGGACCACATTGCACATTTGGATAAAGTTTAGGAATTACGTTGAATAGATTTAAAGTTCAGAGACCATTTATGTCATTATTTCTTGATTGAATATTGAATTGACATCGAGTTACCTTCTCTCTAACCTTCTTGACCCATTTTTTTTCTTGCTTTTCCTTGAATTTTTTTATTTGCCTATCCTTTCTAAGTTGGAGAATTTTCTCCTATATTTTTCTCCCCTCTCTTACATCCGTTCTTTCTTATTTGTTTCGTCTTATGTTAATTTTATTATGTTTATGAAACGGCGTTTGAGTTGCACAGATCAACATGTATTTAAGCAAAATCTATACATGTCCAAATAAAACTCTTACGCATTTGGATCATAGTTTAAGGACTATTTATGTCCTTTTCCCCCAAACCGTGCCCGTTCATGCAACCGCAGCATGCATCAAACAACCCATTGGGCCTAATCCGTCGCACAAGCGGGCCTGAACGAGGCCCATCAACACCGGACCGCACATCCCTCGCCGTCACTGCTTCTGATCGAGCACGACCCGCCTTCGCTCCGCTGCTCCTCTTCCCTCCGTCGAGTACCCCCTCGCGCTGCAGCGGACCGCCATGGCGTCGAAGCTCCTGAGCCGAGCCCGCGCCGTCTCCGCTCGTCTGAGACATCCGCGGGCGCTGTCGCCGACCCTCGCCGCCGTCGCCCCTTCGAGGCTCCTCTCCGACGTCGCTCCTCGGTCTCTTCCCGCGTCGGCGACCGCGACCGCGACCGGCGGTTCTCCTCCCGCTTCCACCTCGCCAGCTCCTCAATCCTCCGGAACCGCCGGGAAGTTCGAGCATAATGTGAAGGGCTCCTCCGTTCGCTCGTCTCTGAAGGATCCCGAGCTGGTCAAGTTCTCCGCCATCGCCGATACGTGGTCAGTTCGTCGATTGCCGATTCATTTCTTTCGTAAACGGTGATTCTCCCGATGCGGCGGTTTTCTTTTGTTCGCCTGAATTCGACATTGTACATTTGCGATTGGTCGCAGCGGAACCGCTTTCTGTTTTGTATTTTTCCCCTCATTTTAGCAGCTGAAACAGCTTGGCTGAAGTTACTTAGGAGTTGAGGCTCTTCGATTTTGCTTAAACTGTAGGAAATTCGAAGTCTTTGAAATGCGTAGTTGTTATAGCTTGCGAGTTGGGTTGATTTCTTGTGCAAATGTGATGATTAGGTGGGATTCTGAAGGCCCTTTTAAGCCTCTGCACCGGATGAATCCTACAAGACTTGCTTTCATTCGCTCCACTCTTTGTCGACATTTCGGGTACGTTTAAGTGTGATCCTCCTTCGACATTTCTGGCTTGTTTTGCACGATCAAGTTTAATTACTGGACATGGTGGCTTCATGAATGATAATGGGGATGGGGTTTCAAGTTCGCCACATATAGTCGAACTCAATAGCTCGGGACAAAACTTCAACAAGTTTGCAATTTCTGCAATCATTTCGGTCGATAGACATGTAGGACTTAAAACTCAGGTGTTTAGCATTGCTTCCATCAGATACATTGAACTCTGTTCTTCTTTTCTCAATCACTTTTTGTTGTGCGATTGATATAGTTTGTACCGGCTAACCCTATTTTGCAGATTTGTCTGACTTTTCTTGATTTAGGAAGGATCCATCCACTGCTAGGCCTCTTGAAGGTTTGAAAATCGTAGACGTTGGTTGTGGCGGTGGAATTCTTTCAGAGGTATGGAGTCTGTTCCCTTGTTGGTCTACTTTGCATAAATGTCTAGATAGAAAATGGGAGTAACCACCTTCTGGAAGGTCCTACACAGCAGAGTTTATAGGTTTAATGTGTCAAATGCTGAACGAGTTTGTTGGTCTTATTTATTCTTGTATAACGAAGTCATGATGCACCTATGGCCATTAAATCTGTCTCCTTATCTCCAATTGAGCATTTAAGTACACCTAATTCTGTCATAGTCATATGGTAAACAGCTGCAAATGTATCATGCTCAATAACGAGGTCTAGGTTTCTTTTATTCTCGAACAGGTGTACAACTGTCAGTTGCACATGCTATCCTATTGGCTGATTTTGTTATGTTACAATGAGAACATTTTTTTTAATAGTAGGGATAAGGAGTTTATCTTAGGCTGTGTTGAAGTTTCTTCAATAGTTCTTATATCTAAATATCTCTATCATTCGATGCTGGAAGCTGGACTTTGAGGTAGCTTCCATCACAGTAATATCAAGAATATGGACATGAGTCATTAGCATTGGTGTTGTGGCAGTGGGAATGCAGCACCATATGTTGGAGCTTGATAAGATGACCTTTTTGGCAAAAATGCTGGTCCCCAACCATCAAGGCTGCTGGTTTTGCTCTATGAGCGACATGAGGATTCGACATGGACTGTTGCACTCACGAGGCTTGTTTTGTGCAGTATTTAGTTTATTTAGTGCAGATGGTTTGAGTCATAAAAAAAGCAAGAAGGCAGCAGCATTTATTTTAAGAAAGTAAAAACAGCTTTAATTTACCAATGATAGCATAATTTCGATAGAGGAACATATCTGCCTAGTTATTACTTGCTATGCAAATGGCCGGTTAATCATCTGTTGTACCATATACCAACTGTTGCTGATGTGCTGGATGGTGTGAATTGTAAATTGAGTCTCATTCTATTGCTGTGGGAGCATAAATGGTGTATGAACTACAATTGTAATTTATGGTTAGAAATTGATCAGTAGAGAGGATGGTGTACTCATTTTATTGAAATAACACAATATTGGTTTGCTTTGAATTCCACTTATGTTGCATTTTGAGTTCGTTCAGTATATTTGGACATCATAATCCATCTTCAATGGTTCAAGTGGAGAGGGGTATCGGTTAATACTTGTCTTTTTGCCTCTTCAGCCGTTGGCCAGGATGGGAGCTTCAGTAACAGGTGTGGATGCTGTGGACAAAAACATCAAGATTGCACGCATTCATGCTGTATGCTCATTTCTCTAGCGCAAAAATGAACATTTTCTCGTGAAAGTTCCACAGCATAAGTACTACAGTGATTAACTTCTGTTATTGATAGAGTTACTTCATTAAGGATTCTCTAGTAACTAGAACTCTAAAAACATTTTTAATATGTACATGCATTGAATTCATCTGATATTATCAGTGTAAAATCCAAAGAACAAACCTACAGATGCCATTAGGATTGCAGTTTATTTGTGAAGTTTCAGACTGAAGCATACAGTCTGAAGATTCTAAGTAACATAGGAGTGAGCTAGATATTTTGAATTACTTCGAAGTTGCCACCGATCAATACTTGGGAATAGTCTCTTCATCTATGAATTACTCCAGCTATCGAGAATTTTCTGGCAGAATGTGTAATTGACTGTGAGTCTACAAATCATTTTACTATTGTTCAGTCCTTTTGCATTCTGATTGTTCTAGTTTGATTATCATTGTCAATTGCTATGAAGCTGGTGATACGTTTTACTTGATAATGAACTTCTGGATTGATGCTGCAAATCCTTTTCAGATTTCCTGGTTGACATTTGAAGTGTTGCCATAAATAAGTATTGCTCATTACAGATTTTTTTTCCCTGATGAATATTTGGACTTGAGTGATACTACGAAGTGTAATTTCTTGGTTAGCTGAAGCAATTTTTGCTAATGACCATGATCAACTTTCAACTTTTATCTGGATGCTTGTAACATTCTTTATCAACATAGGATTTGGATCCAGTGACTTCAACGATTGAATACTGCTGTACAACAGCTGGTATGTTCATCTTACACGTTAATCAAGCATTATGCTCTGGTAGTGATTCACTCAGACATCTAATGCATCTTTTCATGTTTTAGTTGGATCTTTCCCTCTGATGGGAGAATTCCATTTTTCTGTCAAGTTTTTGACTTGTCCACTTCTAAGACTTCCCTCATAGTTATCATGTTTGTAAATGCAAAGACCAAAATGTTCTAATATTTGAACTAAGAATTCCTAGCTGGAAGTTTTGAAAGATAGCATCATGATTGGCGATTATATCTTCATCAATCCAAAATGTAGCGGACCTACTACCTGCAAGTCCTGCGGTTGGCAAAATATTGATATTCTGATGCATAAAATTCTCTTTCTAAGGCAGTGCTCTTTTGGTTCAGATTAACTAGTGTTTTTCAAGAGTCTCCTATTTTGCTGCTTAAGGTCTTTGGATCACTATCCTTAGTTAACCATTTGGCAGGAACCTATATCTTTTGAAATAAGAGGGGTGATTTATATCTGGAGTATATAATTTCAGAACTCACAAGAGATGGTACAGAGAACATTGGGCTAAATGTCAGTATAATAAAGGGATGGTAGAAGTGCTATAGCTATAATAAGGCACTTGGGCAGGGACTTCGGCTTACTTTTTGCAATGTTTCTATACAAACGCTGTTTTGAGTCTTTTGGCTCACGTGCGATTGTATCACCATAACATGATAGGCTGCCCAATGCTCATGTAACAGGGGCACAAGGTGGTTTAGCAAGAAAATAAACCAAAAGGGAAAGGTGTTAAGAGTCATGGTGTGGCTCAAATATATTCTTGTAGTAGGTGGTTAGCCGCAAGTGTTGTAATATGTAGATGTAGACTTCTGGTTAAATATGGGGGCTAACTTTTGGTGTCGTTACAAACTTATAGCCTAGATCATCAATTCAAGAGTTCTGAACGTATGTCTCTTGGCTTTTTTCTTTGCAAAGGGAGGAAAAAAGGAGGATAATCGTAGAGAGAGTACTGTATTCATAATATTACTTCAGTCAAAACATGAGTCGTGAAAGCTTATGTGATTCATCCAATTGACAGAAAAGCTTTTGTTGGTGGTTAAATATGGAGACTAACTTTTGGTAATGGTTACAAACTTATAGCCTAGACCATTAATTCAAGAGTTCTGAACATACGTCTCTTGGCTTTTTTTTTTCGCAAAGGGAGGAAAAAAGGAGGATAATCATAGAGACAGTACTCTATTCATAATATTACTTAAGTCAAAACATGAGTTGTGAAAGCTTATGTGATTCATCCAATTGACAGAAAAGCTTGTTGAAGAACAGAGGAAGTTTGATGCAGTGATCTCTTTAGAGGTACCTATTCTCTGCCCAAAATCACACACTAACTTCTTTCAAATCTATTTCGTTAATGTTTAACTTTGATCCTCCAAATTCTTTGATAAGACAGATTTGCTTCATTACTTTCTGGTCCTTCTAGTTTTCTGCTTTTCAATCATGGAACGAATTTTCTGGCTATAGCAGCATTATCCTATCTAACTTTCCTGTCATGGGTGCTTGATGACATCTTTTTATTATGGATGCAATAAATAATGACAGGGTTTTTATGTAAGTGCACTTTTGAATGACTAAAGGTAATAGAGCATGTAGCAGATCCTGCTGACTTTTGTAAGTCACTCTCGGCATTGACTATTCCTGAGGGAGCTATAGTGATTTCGACTATTAACCGTTCTATGAGAGCATATGCGACTGCTATTGTTGCTGCTGAGTACCTCCTCCGTTGGGTATGTTTCTTTTCCTTTCTCCCCGACTTCATCTGCGCTATTGATTCCATTGCCATGCATGAGTACTGTTCTTTGTCATGTTTTAAAATGCATGTAATCTTCTAACATTGCACTGGAGACAATGGTCTGTTTTTCCTTGGCCATTAAATTCAAACGTGTGTGGACAAAAGTAAGAGATGCAGCAAGTCTTCTGTTGTTGTTCATTAGGAAATTTGTGAGTGGCTTGATATTTACGAACGTGTCTCCGTGCTGAAATAGCATAGATAATTGCAAAGTTTTGACTGGGCGATCATTCTCTTAATTCAGCGGTTTCACTTGCAGTTTGAGCTAGTTTGTTCTCTTCAGATTGATGGTTGCTTGATTAGATGATGAAATTACAATGAATTGTGAAAATGATTTAGTTAGGAGACATCGCTTCTCAGTTAGATCTAGAATTTAACAAGGCAATGCATCTTGGTATTTCTACATTGCAGCTTCCGAAAGGTACACACCAGTGGTCGAGTTTCCTTACCCCTGAAGAGCTAGTGTTGATCCTACAACGTTCTTCTATTTGTGTAAGCCACGATTACATGCTTTTTGACCGTTTTATGCTTTCGCCATGCCTCAAATTTTTTTTTTATGTGATCATTATACTTTTGCTGAAACTCGGTCATCCATCCTCGGATTCGTGCAGGTCAAGGAGATGGCTGGATTTGTGTACAACCCCTTGACAGGAAGATGGTCCCTCTCTGATGATGTGGGCGTGAATTTTATTGCTTTTGGAACGAAAAACAGCCAGTGAATAAATGAATATTCGCGAGATAAGTCTCATGCCGAATGTTAACAGCTTTCGTGTTAGGATTGTGTCTCATACATGATTTTAAATAAAAATACTAAATATTTATGGAATAATAAAGAAAGAAAAAGGTCGTTTTCTTGTGCTTCTTCACGTCAAAACAAGATCCTTCTTGGGGATTTTTTTTTTCTTTGTGGGTGTCGGATTTTCTTTTCCTTTTCTGATTACTTAAAGTATCAGGGTCTTACTGATATTAATCTCGTCCATAATAGAGAAACATTGGGGGCATGCATCGTCATCGGCATTGTCGTTTTCATGTTGGAAACGAGCATCTTCGCCAAATTTATACGCCAATTGTCCTACCGGGATGGCCACGTATCGGATGGTTCCAATGCTCTCATCGGTTGTAGCGGAATCTTGGATTGGTTGCCCTGTTGCTGATAATTGTGGAATTCGTGCTTTTTTTAAATAATATTTCATGGCCCATCGAACGGAACAAAGGAAAAGGCAAATTAGATTGGTCACTAATTAGGTGTCACGGGAGTTGAGAGAATCCTCACCGTGTGATTTTGGGGGCAATTCCAACATGTCGTGCCTATCAAAACGGATTTGAGCCCATGCGCCAGCCTAACTCCTTGTATTACACTGACCATCCATAATTGAAATGAAGATGGAGAACTAAGTTTTGATTGGTCCTCCTCAGCCAAATGCCCTTTCTTTAATGGGATTCTGGATACCTTTGTTGCCCTTTCTTTTGCTTTTTGGCTAGAATAATATCATGTGGATCCTTTGTTTAGCCCAGTCATTCAAATCATTAGTACGCCATGATGAACTCACATTAGCGAAAGATGAACTTTTGAGCTATAAGGGAAAATCACATGAGAAGTCCCTGAACTTTGATTCAATATGCAATTTAGTCCTTGAACCTTTAATTTGTTCAATGTATTCCTTGAACTTTAACCTAATGTTCAATGTGGTTCCTGAACTTTTGGTACGTGTTCAATACAGTCCCTGAATTTTATAAAAATGTTAAATATAGTCCTTCAATTAATTAAAATTCAGGGACTATATTGTACATTTTCATATAGTTTAGGGACTAAATTGAACATATACTAAAAGTTCAGGGATTGCATCGAACATTGGGTTAAAGTTCATGGACTACATTGAGCAAATAAAAAGTTTAGAGACCAAATTGCACATTGAGCCAAAATTCAGAGACTATTTGTGTCATTTTACCAAGCTAGAAAGACCTACTAGCCTAGCACTCTTGACTTGAAATTTTTATTTGATGACATTCCCAATCCTACGGCCTAGTAGTCCCGACGATAGCCATTTTATTATGCTCAATCTGGTGGTTGAAGCTGACCTTATGCTAGCGTGAAGTGTCAAAGTTTGATTCACACACAACATAATTTAAGCTTTACTAAGAATTATTTTTTTTCTCATTAAATGTTTTGCCTTTGACATCAACAATATGAGAATGATCTTATGCCCAACTACTTGTCCACTGTATGACCACAGTTCCGTGTCTTCGTAGTTGTACCGATGTTGAATCGCATTCCTGAGTGAAAGGCTCAAGTTAAAACAAGCGAAATTGAGGAAAACTCAGGTCGATACTTGGTTGATAGGCCGGTTCAGTCGGACTTCCCAAACAGTGTTGCAATCCCCCCCTGCACATTCGCCCCACCTCAACAAATCTTGTATCTACCACCGAGTAGAAACTTACCTACTTGTGTTAAAAGTTATTGACATGCTCTACACTCTTAGTAGAGATTAGCTATTGATTAGAATCAGCTATTCAGAAAAATTGTTAACAAAAGGGGGTTGGTAAGATAAACTTTGGAGTGTTTATGACCTGTGAAGTGAGAAAGATTTCGAGATATGATGCCTTTGAGATGAACTTGTGAGTCGGGCTAAAGGAGTAGCATTTGGCATTTTCCATAGTAATTGTCGGCGCCAAATCGAGTTGGGTTGGACTTCTCCTGTGGATGGCCATTTTTCTAAACGAGATTTTACCTTCCTAGACCAAGCAATAGTTGATTCGTATCAGATCACAGCTTTTAACTATAGCCATTTAGTAGAGCACTGAAGGGGGGCATAAAAGGACTGTAGCTAAGACAATGGAGAAGCTGGGAGTCGAAAGTTGAGAGGATTTGACAAAGGATAAAGAAGGAGAAGAAGTCAATCAAAGGGACAAAATGAGAAAGAATGTTTTAAGAGGTAGCTGAAACCAGCAAGAATTTGAAAAGGGTACTTGTTGGTATTATAATCTGATTCTTTTCAATGGAGGCTTGAAGTCGTGAGCATATAATAAGGGGGAGACTTGCAAGACAATAAAAGCGAGGGCCTATTTATGGTGGAGTTGGAGTTTGTTGGACTTTGGAAGTTTGCTGCAGGGTACACAAGAGGAATATCACGGACGTCGACGTGAGACTTTTTAGGATGCTTCGAGCGCATGCGGGGTTGGTGTATCCCGACCCTCGGATCATGTCGATCTCGTGTGAGACCCTTCGATATCGAAGACTCAAATGCATTGAGCTCGTGTACACCAGAATCATTTCAGAATTGTTTGGGGACGCGGACATGGTGGGGCCTGCTTTTTGACTTGGTGAAGCCCTTCAAACTTTTCTATTGTATTATCCTATACATGCCAAAGTAAAAGAAAGGGAGAAAGGGGCAACTCAACCGCTCTTTCGAACGGAGGTTTCGGTACTCGAAGAGCTAACACACTCAGAAGCAGCAAAGCTAACAACATCAGCAATCCAACCACTGCATCTTCCTCCTCTTTTCTTTGGACTTGGACGTGGGCTCATCATGCTCTTGGTGTAATTCATGAATAATTGAGATTGTTAGCTTATGAATTATTGATAATATAATAACTATGGTTTCAAGGTTTGGAGTTAGCCACTGACCGGATAGCAGTAGCACCCTTTTTTTCCTATTTCATTACGACTTTTTCGCGCCGCATGCATACACGAGACCCATCATCCTGTCTGACCCTCTTTGACCTTATTTATCCCCTCCTCTGTTCTCTCATTAACTCCCTCCCTCCCTCTCTCTCTCTCTCTCTCTCTCCTCCGCTGGGTGGTCATCAACGGCGGTTCATTAACAGCTTAGCAGTGGCAGGCCTGCGTGTGGGATTTCAAGGCAAAAGGGTCTTTAAAGACCCTGCAAGTACACCCAACTCTTTCCAGTTCCAACGCTTGCAGACACGTGAATCCATGCACCCCTTCCCATCCCCTTCCACCACCTCCAACGACCACCAGTCGCAGCAGGAGCGCTTAAGTCGGCCATAACCATCGTGGGGGACGCGCGTGTGGTGTTCCATGCTTTGCTAGACGTGCGTTGTGCTGAGCGAAAGCAATGGCGATATGGGTAATGCCTCGCAGAGCTCTTGATAATTTGGTTGCTGCGATCCTCGTGCTTCTGGTGTTGTTCTGCGCGGTGGGACGTGGTGAGACGACCCTGAGAATACTTCTGGAGGCCAAGGCTTCGTTCGTGGAAGAAGACCCGACGGTGCTGTCCGACTGGTCTCCGAGCAACCCGAATTTCTGTACGTGGACTGGCGTGTCTTGTGATCAGCTTCGACAACAACGGGTGGTGGCCCTCAACCTGTCGGCGTCCTCGCTGTCGGGGTCGATACCGCCGTCCCTGGGCCGCCTGCGAAACCTGCTCCACCTCGACCTCTCCTCCAACAGCCTGACGGGACCGATCCCACCTGCTCTCTCCAACCTCTCCTCCCTTGAATCCCTCCTCCTCTTCTCCAACCAACTCTCCGGGGCCATCCCTCCTCAGCTCGGCTCCCTCTCCTCCCTCCGCGTCCTCCGCCTCGGCGACAACCCTGCCCTCACCGGCCGCATCCCTCCGTCCTTCGGCGGCCTCACGAGCCTCACTACTCTCGGCTTGGCCTCCTGCAGCCTCATCGGCCCCATCCCACCTCAGCTCGGACAGCTCCCACTGCTCCAGAACCTCATCCTGCAGCAGAACCAGCTCACCGGCCCCATCCCGTCCGAGCTGGGCAACTGCTCCAGCCTCACGCTATTCGCCGCCGCGCAAAATGGCCTCAACGGATCCATCCCGAGGGAATTGGGCCGGCTTGGGAATCTTGGGCTGCTGAACCTTGCGAACAACAGCCTGTCCGGGGAGATTGATGAGATGATTGGCGAGATGACCGAGGTGCACTACTTGAACTTGCTGGGGAATCAGCTGGAGGGTCCCATCCCAAGATCCCTGGCCCGCATGCACAAGCTCCAGAATCTGGATTTGTCGTCGAACCGGCTCACCGGCGGCATCCCGGCGGAGTTGGGGAGCTTGGGGGAGCTGGTTTACCTGGTTCTCTCCAACAACAACCTCTCCGGCGCCATTCCCACCGCCTTGTGCTCCAACGCCACTCATCTGGAGTACCTGATCCTGGCTCAGGCCCAGCTCTCTGGTCCCATTCCCCCGCAATTGAGCAACTGCCGCGCTCTGAAGCAGCTCGACCTTTCCAACAACACACTCACCGGTGCCATCCCCGTCGAGCTATATGAGTTGGTCCCCTTGACAGATCTCTATCTCCACAACAACAGCTTGGTGGGCTCCATTTCTCCATCCATAGCAAATCTCAGCAGCCTGCAGGCCCTGGCTCTGTACCACAACGATCTGGAGGGGAGCCTGCCACGCGAGATTGGGATGCTTGGCGAGCTCCAGTTGCTGTATCTCTACAACAACCGCTTGAGCGGGGAGATCCCCATGGAGATAGGCAACTGCTCGTGCTTGCAAATGATCGATTTCTTCGGAAATCACTTCAGTGGGAGGATACCTGACAGCATTGGGAGGCTAGATCAGCTTAATCTCCTTCACTTGAGGCAGAATGAGCTCGTAGGAGAAATTCCCGCAGCTTTAGGCAACTGCCACCAACTAACCATTCTGGACTTGGCAGACAATGCTCTGTCTGGCGGTATTCCCCCAACACTGGGGAGTCTCCTGGCATTGGAGCAGCTCATGCTCTATAACAATTCTCTCGCCGGTAATCTTCCCGACTCTCTCATCAATCTAAGGAACCTGACCAGGGTCAACCTTTCCAACAATAGATTCAATGGCAGCGTCTCTGCCTTGTGTAGCTCGCACTCTTTCCTTTCTTTCGATGTCACGGATAATTCGTTTGAGCACGAAATACCTCCCCAACTGGGTGATTCGCCTTTCCTGGAAAGAGTCAGATTAGGTAACAATCGATACAACGGGAGTATCCCGTGGACGTTGGGGAAGATCCGTGGGCTCTTGTTGCTTGACCTATCAGGAAATTTGCTCACCGGAACGGTTCCTGTTCAGCTCTCCTTGTGCAAGAAATTGACCCACCTTGATCTAAACAATAACCTTCTCTCCGGGCCAGTCCCGTCGTGGCTTGGGAGCTTGCCTCAGTTGGGCGAACTTAAGCTTTCGAGGAACAGCTTCACTGGCCCCGTTCCTCCACAGCTATCTGAATGTTCCAAGCTGTTGGTGCTATCTCTTGACGGAAACTCACTGAATGGCACTCTCCCTGCCGAAATTGGTGATCTTGCCTCACTCAATGTCCTCAACCTCGACCGCAACCAACTCTCTGGGCCTATCCCTTCATCCATAGGGGAGTTAGGCAAGCTTTATGAGCTTCGACTCTCGGAAAACAACTTCACTGGTGAAATTCCCGTAGAACTTGGACACCTCCAGAATCTCCAAAGCATCCTTGATCTGAGCCATAACAATCTCAGTGGCCAAATCCCACCCTCTATAGCCACGCTGTCAAAACTCGAGGCACTCGATCTATCTCACAATCAGCTGTTTGGAGAAATTCCTTTGGAAGTTGGCGAAATGAGCAGCTTGGGCAAGCTTGACCTCTCTTACAACAAGCTTCAGGGCAAACTCGGGGAGCACTTTTCACGGTGGCCAGCTCAGACATTCCAAGGGAACCTGCATCTTTGCGGGAGTCCTCTTGTCCCATGCAACAGCTTCATATCTGGCAACCAGCGTCAGTCAGGTCTGAGTGGATCCACAGTCATGATCATCTCAGCAGTGTCGACCTCGGCAGCTGTTGCCCTTCTGGTTGTTGGTATTGCCCTGTTCTTGAAGCACAGGAAAGAGGAGCTCAAAAGCTTCAACGAAGTGAACTGCATGTCCTCTACCAGTTCTTCCCAGGCGAATCGGAGATTACTCTTCCACCAGGGTGCTGCCAAGCAAGACTATAGATGGGAAGATATTATGGAAGCCACCAACAACCTTAGTGATGAGTTCATGATTGGTTCGGGGGGATCCGGTAAAATCTACAGGGCTGAGATGCCTACCGGGGAAACGGTGGCAGTTAAGAAGATATTGTGGAGGGAAGATCTCCTATCGAATAGGAGCTTCGTCAGCGAAATCAAGACGCTGGGCAGGGTAAGGCACAGGCACCTAGTGAAACTGATGGGCTACTGCAGCAACAAAGCAGCAGGTTCCAATCTGTTAATTTATGAGTACATGGAGAATGGAAGTCTATGGGATTGGTTGCACCAGAAGCCATCGAATTGTAAGAAGCAGAGGAGCCTCGATTGGGAAGCAAGGTTACGCATAGCACTGGGTTTAGCTCAAGGCGTGGAGTACCTGCATCATGACTGTGCTCCGAAGATCGTTCACAGGGATATCAAATCTAGCAATTTGTTGCTGGACTCTAACATGGAGGCACACCTAGGTGATTTTGGGCTCGCGAAATCCCTTGTGGAGAATTCCGAATCCCTAGACACCGAGTCCAATTCGCGGTTCGCGGGGTCGTATGGCTACATTGCTCCAGGTACTTAAAAAATTGATACTGCCTAGGTCTGCACTGTTTTGTTCCAATCTAAATTTTTATTCATCCTAATATATGGAAAGATAGTACAGGCTCTTCTTACTTGCTGCTTTGCTTTCTCTCAGAGTATGCATACTCCATGAAGGCAACTGAGAAAAGTGATGTTTACAGCATGGGAATTGTGCTGATGGAGCTCGTGAGCGGGAAAATGCCAACGGATGAATCGTTCGGTTTAGACGTGGACATGGTCAGATGGGTGGAGACACATATTGAGATGCAAGGTTCGGCTCAGGAAGAGTTGATAGACCCCGCATTGAGGCCGCTCTTAGCCAGGGAAGAGAATGCAGCTTTTCAAGTTCTCGAAATTGCACTCCAGTGCACGAAAACTGCCCCACAAGAGAGGCCATCATCCAGGCAGGCGTGCGATCTCCTTTTCCACATATTCAACAACAGGATGACGGATTTGGAGAAGACAAGTCTCAATCCCTACACGTAAATTAAGCCTCTTCTAAATGATTGATGAAGGTTGTGGATCGTGTAGCCGTAAGAACTTCTTGGAGTTAGATTTTTCTTGTTGACAAATTTTTCGAGTCTTGATATGGTTTATTCCAACCGCAATGCCGTGCGCAACCTTGTGTAGAAATTCTCAAATTCATCCGATATCTGAATCAAACAGAAGCGTAGGTGCAAGTCGTTCCGTGGACACTAGCTGCGAGTCCGTCGACACGATATCCCGGGCCGAAGTTCTTGAAGGGTCAAATGGTACTTAGGGTGCGCATGGAATCCATTCCGGAGCAAAATTTCTGCTCCGGAATGCATTCCGGAACAGAATGACGTTTGTTAAAAAATTTCCGGAATGCATTCTGGAATAATTTTTGCATTCTGGACAAAACATGTCAACATGTTTTATAACATCTCAAGCTATTGGGAAAACAAAAAGGGTTTGTGTAACGATATATATATTGGCATTTCGACATGTTTTATAACATCTCAAGCTATTGGGAAAAAAAAAAAGGGTTTGTGCCAGACTAGACGTGGACATAATCAAGCCAACAAAATAAGAAAACAGGAAGAATAACAGGGATTAAAGGCAAGAGAAAATCAAGAGGGTCTGCCAGGATTTGAACCCTTGGCCTGTGTTCTGATACCATGATAGGTAAATATTTTCTCATAAAAAGCTTAAACTGTTAGGAAATGTGTCAACCATGTTTTATAGCATATTCCTGAACACACACACACACACACACACACACATATATATATATATATACATATACATATACATACTCGCGCTCCTGATCGAACCTAGTTAACCATTACCTCATGTAAGTAACCATTCAAGATCATTCTTTCACATAGATTGTAATATAGAAATCCAGCTAAGTACACAACACGAGTTGATAGAGGGACCTACAAGGGAAGTCCAAATCATCAAACTATATGGAAATAAAGTTCCATTTAACTATTTGTGAGGACCTTACACTTGAAATAAGTCCAACGGTTGCCTCCTTAACTCGATCACCTCCAATATATATGGCTCCAGGGTAATTTCACGGAAAGATTCCTTGCAATAGAGCAGTAGTAACAATGAGAGAGAGAATATTCTGAAACCCTACTAACAACGGTTGTGATTCCTTAAGACAACACATCCAATGATCCACAGACTTGAAGAACTCACCGGGGGTGTTCTGCAAGGACTGTTATGAATGCCTCACTTTCGGTTTGAAAAGCAAAGGGCATGACTCATCCTTCTGGACTCCCATAAGAGGGTCAAGTACTTTTGTGGCTCTAAATTCTTCAGATTAAAATATCCAATCCTCAGCTTAAATAGTTTATGGCTAAATGAAGAGCACCCCTGCAAAGGGATACCAAAAATGCCACATCAAAATAAACAAATAAACAAAGAATAAACTATTTAAGCTCAATTGGTAAGAAGTGCAAATGTTTAGGACTGAATTGGCAAAAGTGCAAAAGGTTTAAGACTTTTTTGACAATTTTGCCAACAAAAATCATCCACCGTAGTTCCACTCTTAGAGCATGCATAACTTCAAAATAGCTTCAATGACAGAAATATCGACAATATTATATAACAATGGCAGGCAGTGATATTTCTGCCAACACGCTGTCATCTTCATCCAAAGAGCAACTGTCCGAATTCTTGATATTTGGCCAGAGGTTCAGTGCCGCATTAATATCCTCAAGTATTCCCTGCTTTATAAACAAAACCAACAGAAAATAAACAGAAGGATTGTTAAAGAGAGCATGATTGGGGCGTGCACAGCTAGAACTAAAGTGCTAAAAAAGAGGGACTAGCCTTCCATGCATTTGCACCTTTGATTTCGGTTCAGCTTCCTGAGTACAGAGAGCACGCAGAGAATATGCAGAGGCTAATAAATGACATTCCGAGACAGCAGAGCACGATGATGATTTACTGACACAATCCTGCGTCGAGTCACGTGTTAAATCGTCAATCCATCTTAGAAAGAAAGAGACACAGAATCCATTCAACCTGAATGCATCTTCTGGTGCGAACCGGGTAAGTAAAGTGAGAATACTCACTATTGTGGATATTGCTTCAGACAAACACAGAACGCAGCTGTTTAACCCTTCCCTTCCACGGCATTTTGGAATCCTCCCTTTTTTTTATATTAAAAGTCTTGCCTTCTGCAAACAGCTAGCTTTTGCATATTAAATTTCTCGCAAAAGCTCGTCTATGATTTTCATTTGCATTCTACTGCATAGCTCTGGAATTGAGGAATTTATTTCCTCATACGCAAGGAGCTCCTAACCACAATAGAAGGAAAGACGAGTACTATTAGTAGTCCAAAAAATGTGCATGCGTGCACAAACACTAACGCCACCCAGCCACCTGGCAACGACTATCCTCAATTCATTATAAAGCACAAGCCTCATTTCAAAACACATGTGAAACATACACATACTCATGCACAGTGGTAGAGCAACTAGGACTTTCTTCCCAAAAAGTATCAATACAAGGTCAAACCTGCTCTGCTATTATGGCAAGAGTTGCTTTCGGAATTTAATTGCAGGATGAGAGAAATCGGTATAAAATTGGCAGACTACCCCCAGCATCTGCATGTCTGTGTTGTTTACATTGAATCTGAAACACAACCAAAAATAAGAATAAAAAACATAGGAAATAGCAAAGAGTTTTCAGCACTTCACCTTAACCCACTGCTTCACCAAAGGCAGAGGACCCGGCAATCCACGAACCAAGTCCATAGCCATTGACCAATTTTTGAGGGCACCTATGCATTCTCTATTAACCTTATCGCCGCCACATTGGTGGAAAACATCCAAAGAAAAAGCACTCCTCGCACATGCCTCATTAATATCGTTAATGGCATCTCTAGTCAAACCAACGAGCTCCCTAGGATTCCGTCCAAGCAACTGGCAATTATGCATAATGTATGTACATGAAGCTCTACATGACAGTTTCAATGCCCTATAAGCCTGTGAGAAGAAGAAGAAAAATTCCATAAATAAAACTCCTCCGAGAACAAAAGAAAGCCACTTCTCTATTAAGTAATACCCCAAGGGCCCAAGCTCAATCTCATTTTATTTCAAGGTGATTTGGTCTCCATCAGTCAACTAAATCGGATCAAACTTAGGCTCATAAGATTGTGCCGAGGTATCTAGTGTGAGTATGCGTCAAATCATCAACTGTTGGGACAAGCAACGCAGCAACATTGTATACTTTTAAACTTTCTGCGCACTTGGAAGGGTTAAACAGAAAATTTATCTCAAAATTGACTTATATCTGAAAAAATAATTAGCGACATTCCACGTGCATGCAATTTGTATTCGATTCAATGTATGATCATGATCACCTTCCATTGTCACATTGCTCCTTTGAAAATAGAAGAACAAATGAGAAATTTAAACTGAATGGTTGGGACCCTTCTCTAACTATAATATGCACGGACTGACTATTTACAAAATATGCCACTATAAACACCTATACTAAGCTCCTCAGCTCTCACCCTCAAGTAGGAGTATATTTGCTACATGTTCCCAACTTGTTACAAATGTAACTCACACGAGGACCCCAAAGAGACTCAGTAGACAAATCAGCATGTCGATCATTCAGATTTATAAATTGACTATACTATTATCACAATATCACCGCAATTCTAACAAATTTAGCAGACACACTAGCAGCAAGACAGAGATGTTAACTGACAAATAAACTGGAGTTTCTTTCCATGTCTTTTTGGATGAGCCATACAAAGTTTACGGAAGTGAACATTAAACAAAAGAACATTGGCATAACTTATCAACTTGTAAACTCGTTACTCATCATAACATCATTGCCCTTAGCAAGTTTCATTCACAATTAGCTTCTGTGCAACCAATTAATGCATTATGCTCAACAAACTTGGAGCGTGATTGAACAATAGGATGCTAATTTGTTAACATTGTCTACCTCAAAAGTTGATGTCTTTGTTTTCAAATACAGACACCTTGGCTCCTCTCACGTAATATATTTCTACTAATAAGCAACTTTAAGGGCACTTATTGCCTTTAAGACGGTTCCTAAAATAAATGTTCCTCAACTCAAGATTAAAAAGAAAACAAAAACTTCCAGACAAGTCAGAAATTGACCCACCTTGATCTAAACAATAACCTTCTCTCCGGGCCAGTCCCGTCGTGGCTTGGGAGCTTGCCTCAGTTGGGCGAACTTAAGCTTTCGAGGAACAGCTTTACTGGCCCCGTTCCTCCACAGCTATCCGAATGTTCCAAGCTGTTGGTGCTTTCTCTTGACGGAAACTCGCTGAATGGAACTCTCCCTGCCGAAATTGGTGATCTTGCCTCACTCAATGTCCTCAACCTCGACCGCAACCAACTCTCTGGGCCTATCCCTTCATCCATAGGGGAGTTGGGCAAGCTTTATGAGCTTGGACTCTCGGAAAACAACGTCACTATTGGAATTCCTGTAGAACTTGGACACCTCCAGAATCTCCAAAGCATCCTTGATCTGAGCCACAGCAATCTCAGTGGCCAAATCCCACCCTCTATAGCCACGCTGTCAAAACTCGAAGCACTCGATCTATCTCACAATCAAGCACTTGATCTGTCAAAAAATTTCGACCAAAAAAAAAAAAAAATCTATCTCACAATCAGCGGTTTGGAGAAATTCCTTTGGAAGTTGGCGAAATGAGCAGCTTGGGCAAGCTTGACCTCTCTTACAACAAGCTTCAGGCCAAACTCGGGAAGCACTTTTCACGGTGGCCAGCTCAGACATTCCAAGGGAACCTGCATCTTTGCGGGAGTCCTCTTGTCCCATGCAACAGCTATATATCTGGCAACCAGCGTCAGTCAGGTCTGAGTGGATCCACGGTCGTGATCATCTCAGCAGTGTCGACCTAGGCAGCTATTGCTCTTCTGGTTTTTGGTATTGCCCTGTTCTTGAAGCACAGGCGAGATGTGTTCAAAAGATTCAACGAAGTGAACTGCATGTCCTCTACCAGTTCTTCCCAGGCGAATCGGAGATTACTCTTCCACCAGGGCGCTGCCAAGCAATACTATAGATGGGAAGATATTATGGAAGCCACCAACAACCTTAGTGATGAGTTCATGATTGGTGTGGGGGGATCCGGTAAAATCTACAGGGCTGAGATGCCTACCGGGGAAACGGTGGCAGTTAAAAAGATATTGTGGAGGGAAGATCTCCTATCGAATAGGAGCTTCGTCAGGGAAATCAAGACGCTGGGCAGGGTACGGCACAGACACCTAGTGAAACTGATGGGCTACTGCAGCAACAAAGCAGCAGGTTCCAATCTGTTAATTTATGAGTACATGGAGAATGGAAGTCTATGGGATTGGTTGCACCAGAAGCCATCGAATTGTAAGAAGCAGAGGAGCCTCGATCGGGAAGCAAGGTTACGCATAGCACTGGGTTTAGCTCAAGGTGTGGAGTACCTGCATCATGACTGTCCTCCGAAGATCGTTCACAGGGATATCAAATCTAGCAATTTGTTGCTGGACTCTAACATGGAGGCACACCTAGGTGATTTTGGGCTCGCGAAATCCCTTGTGGAGAATTACGAATCTCTACGACACCGAGTCCAATTTGTGGTTCGCGGGTTGTATGGCTACTTTGTTCCAATCTAAATTTTTATCCATCCTAATATATGGAAAGAAAGTACAGTCTCTTCTTACTTGCTGCTTTGCCTTCTCTCAGAGTATGCATACTCCATGAAGGCAACTGAGAAAAGTGATGTTTACAGCATGGGAATTGTGCTGATGGAGCTCGTGAGCGGGAAAATGCCAGCAGATGAATCGTTCGGTTTAGAAGTGGACATGGTCAGATGGGTGGAGACACATATTGAGATGCAAGGTTCGGCTCGGGAAGAGTTGATGGACCCCGCATTGAGGCCACTCTTAGCCGGGGAAGAGAATGCAGCTTTTCAAGTTCTCGAAATTGCACTCCAGTGCACAAAAACTGCCCCACAAGAGAGGCCATCATCCAGGCAGGCGTGCGATCTCCTTTTCCACATATTCAACAACAGGATGACGGATTTGGAGAAGACAAGTCTCAATCCCTACACTTAAATTAATCCTCTTCTAAATGATTGATGAAGGTTGTGGATCGTGTAGCCGTAAGAACTTCTTGGAGTTGGATTTTTCTTGTTGACAAATTCGAGAGTCTTGATATGGTTTATTCCAACCTCAATGCCGTGCGCAACCTTGTGTAGAAATTCTCAAATTCATCCGATATCTGAATCAAACAGAAGCGTAGGTGCAAGTCGTTCCGTGGACACTAGCTGCGAGTCCGTCGACACGATATCCCGGGCCGAAGTTCTTGAAGGGTCAAACGGTACTTAGAGGATGGACTGTCCAGTTGATTAAACTGTACTAGAATAGCTGACCAGATTGATTCTTGCGTTCTAGTAGTTTGGCTGCTTGGCCCATGGGAATATGTACTGTTCTAGGTGAATGGTTAATTAAGGGTATTGTCACTTCTCTTAGAATCGAGGAGAGATTTCCTGAGCTACTGACCTTGTATGTAATTGCCCCGACTCCTCGAGACCAAATATGAGCCAGGCGATCGGTTTGGCGGAGAGTTCGGTTCAAGTTCTTGCCGCTGCCCATATTGCTCGGCAGTCTATCTGATTTAGTCGAAAAGCTGAACTGACGTACTAATGTTGGCGACTGTTACAAATCATTGACCACTGCTAATGACAACATTACGGTTGCTCTCTCTGTCTGAGGAATCGATCTCGAAACCTCTTCGCATATTGACAATAGAGTCGATCATACATCAAAATGGCAATGCACACACATTTCCAGGATATTATAGGCACTCGAGCTCTTCTCTGATCCTATGAATCCTCCATTTCCCTACGTCCATACGATCCCTGCCGGCCGGTGCCTCCGCTCTTGCGGCCAGGGGCTTTCTTGCGATTGGTTTTACGCATCTCATCTGAGATTTAGTCGAATTCAGGTGAAATGTCAATCATATACGGCCCATACAAAAACAAGAAAAATGATGGGTGAGCCCAAAATCAAACGAATTGATCGAGTCGAGAACTGTAGAGTTTTTGGGTAAAAGATGTTGTGTTGACTAAAGTCACGTGATGTGCTAGATCTATCAATAGCATTGCCTTGGCAACGTTGGATTGATTCACGACCAATGGGCTTCCATAAAAAGCCCAAGAAGCAAAGCCCAGGCCCATCAGTGATCTTTTTGGCGGGAGTCGGTGGATGGCCCCTCCATATCTTCCCGCCAATTCGCCTCCTCCTCCTCCTTCTTCCTCCGTTCCAAACCCTCGGAAGGGAACCGCTGTGCAGAAAGGAAAAGTCATCGTTCCGGTGCGGCCATGGACTCGTACTTCGTCGACCGCAAGGCCGTCCAGGTCGAGGATGTCTTCCTCGACTTCCTCAAGAGGTAACCCCTTCCCCTTCCTTCCCCTTCCTTCCTTCTTTGGTCCAATCTCTGCTTGTGTCTGTCGATTCACGATGAGGAGCAACATTGCGCAGCTTCACGCTGGATCCGACCTCGAGGGAACCTCCTTACTACTCGGCGGAGATCGACGCGATGAAGGCCAGCGAGTCCAGCACCATCTTCATCGACTTCTCCCACGTCATGCTCTTCAGCGACCTCCTCCAGTCCGCCATCTCCGACGAGTTCTTGAGGTGGGCGGCAGCGGCGGTCTCTTATCATTTCTCTGTTCCACCGCTTCGATTGTGAGTGAGTATTTGACCGTTGTGGGTGCTGTCTCTGATTAGGTTCGAGCCGTACCTCAAGAATGCGTGCAAGCGGTTCGTCATGGAGCAGAAGCCCACCTTCATCGCCGACGATAATCCCCACAAGGACATCAACATCGCCTTCTTCAATCTCCCCTTCTCCAAGAGGTCTCTTCTTCTTTTTTTTCCCCCCGCCCCTTGCTTCTACTTGCCCTTTAGGACAGTAAAGTTTGAATTTTTAGAGGCAATTCCTGTGCCCTTTCTGTTGCCTATGTATGTCAGATTCTCTATTGCCTGAATTCGTTAACTTTTAAAATGATTAAGTTAATCTAAAAACTGTAGGTTAAGGGAACTGGCTACCGCAGAAATAGGGAAGCTTGTATCGGTAACCGGAGTGGTCACTCGCACGAGTGAAGTACGGCCGGAGCTTCTCCAGGGCACATTCAAGTGCTTGGACTGCGGAGGTGTCATAAGAAATGTGGAGCAGCAATTCAAGTATACCGAGGTTTGGCTAGCATATGCATCGCGAGTGCTTTCTGCTAGTTCGCGTTATCTCTTCCTACTAATATATTTATCGACCCTGTGGTGTCATGCTCAATTGTAGCCCTCGATCTGTGTGGATCCTACGTGCACAAATAGAGCGAAGTGGGCATTGCTCCGCCAAGAGAGCAAATTCGCAGATTGGCAGAGGGTGAGAATGCAGGAGACCTCCAAAGAGATACCTGCTGGATCCCTTCCCAGATCAATGGATGTGATTCTCCGCCACGACATAGTTGAGCAGGCTAGAGCTGGTGACACGTAAGGATCGGTCGCTCACTTTTCAGGGTCACTATGAGGCCTAATTGTCCAGTCATCTTTTTGGTTAAATAGTTTCTATAGTTTTTAGTCTTCCAGAATTTCTTTTCTTGATGGGAAATCCCAAAAAGTAACAGGCAGGTGATCCTAGAGTAGAAAGCTACCAATCTCAGCATGTAATTTCTTACCATGAAAGAAATGATTAGTTTAATCTTTTGCCTTCAAAGCTCCGAATATCAGCATCTTCATTCCAGAATACATCTGGTTAAACTACCTGTTGGCTGACCTTTGGAACATCTCCCGTGAATTAAGGCGAGTCTTAGAATGATTACAGAAGGCAATGTGGCGTGTCTTTCTAACCAATGGCAGCAAGTGAACATCCAACCAATGCTCTCTTCTGGACAATGTTCATTGCAGACTCTGTGGTCTTGCTCGTGCCAATCTATTTGAAATGATGGTAGCTAATTAAGATTGCAAATTATTGCTGTGATAGAATTATTGCTCCTGCTGTAAATTCTAGCCCATCGCTTGCCAATTGTCAAGCTGGATCTGAGTCTTTGCCATGTCTGACTTGTCGGAAGAAATGCTGTGTATCTGAATTTATGTCCCCTACACAGGCCATTTGATCATACCTGGATTTGCTTTTTTGCAAACATGCGAGTTTCAGTGAGAAAAAAAAAAGAACAACGAAAAAGTTGGTGTAATGCTTAGGAATAGTCTTTCTTGGAGAAACACAATGCCTAAGACTACTTGTTTACACAGATCAACTGATAACTCTTGAATGTGATGGAACATTCTCCTACTCACATTAAGCACAGGAAGTTGTCTAGAATTAGCTTGTCAACCTTCTTCTCTTATTCATGTACTTCTTGATGCTTCTTCTTCTGAATCAATTTGATCATCTGAATGATTCCAGGGTTATTTTTACCGGTACCGTCGTTGTCATACCTGACATATTGGCCCTGGCTTCCCCTGGCGAGAGAGCAGAGTGCCGAAAGGATGCTTCACAGCGCAATCCATCATCTGTTGGAAAGGAAGGTGTGAGAGGTCTTCGAGCATTAGGCGTGAGAGATCTCTCTTATCGGCTTGCCTTTATTGCCAATTCAGTGCAGGTTGCTCACTTGGGAGATCAGTATATTAATTAAGCAAATTGTGCATGGATTATTTGCTAATGCTCACTTTTACCTCCTTTTGCATTGGTTCAGATTTTGGATGGTAGAAGAGACATTGACATTAGAAATAGGAAGAAGGGTGCTGATGAAGATGACAACCAGCAATTCATGGTTTGTCTCTAATGAACAACCTTCTTTGAAGTGATAGTGTGAACAATAATGCGACTTAAGAATGTAGCTGAATCATGTATATTGTGGTTGGGGTTTTCGTAATTCCGAAATCCAATATATAAGATTTTGAAATAATATTCTGGGCTTTAGTTGGCGAAGTTGTAGTTGAAGAAATTTTTTTTTTTTGACATAGCAGGCAAAAAGCTTATGCCTGTATGCTAAGTATATTCTGTAAGTCGTATGAAGTCGCTTCTAGTGGTACTCGGTAACTTGAATTCTTCCGAAGTAGCTAAAACATCATTTGACCTGAACAATTATCCTGTAATGGGGCTTTCCCTGGCAACCTTGTGCAATCGTGGTGAGTTACAGTAGTCACAGCTGACCCAACAGCTTCTCACGTCTCTGTCTGTCACAGGCTGAAGAGATTGATGAAATTCAGAGAATGAGGAATACCCCCGATTTCTTCAATAAGCTTGTCAATAGCATTGCTCCAACAGTGTTTGGTCATCAAGATATAAAGCGAGCTATTCTCCTTATGCTCGTCGGTGGCGTTCACAAGTTAACGCATGAAGGCATCAACCTGAGAGGGGATATCAATGTCTGCATTGTTGGAGATCCTAGCTGTGCAAAATCTCAGTTCCTCAAGTATGCTGTCTGTTTTAATCCAATTCATCAACCCTATGATCATGCTTGCTGAATGGAATTTGTGTTTTCATGTATAACTAGATTTATGGACTTATTTATGTGCTCGCTTGTGTTTTCAGATATACTTCAAGCATAGTTCCAAGATCTGTATACACATCGGGAAAATCTTCCTCTGCTGCTGGGTTGACTGCAACTGTTGCCAAAGAACCAGAAACAGGGGAATTTTGTATTGAGGTAGCTGTTTGTTATTCATTATTTTTAGAATATCTTTTGGTTTGATATAGTACATGCAAATGGGTTATTGGCATTAATATGCCCGATGCTGTCTTTGCATCTTTCCTGGTGAAAGAAGAATTAAACTGCTGCAGTGCTTTGTACCTGCGAAATTCAATTTCTTTTCTACCATGTGTCTTGCTGGAAGTTGAAGAACCCACTGAAGGAAAGATTGGTCTACTTTGTTTGTCACAAAGTTTTGTCTTTCCGATGAAAGAACAATCACCTTGTTTGACTGGTGTGACTTCAGATTTGTAATAATTCTTGTTGAATATGCTGTCACATCTCCCGGGTCTACCTTTTCCATAATATGTATATATCTTTTTCAATGATGAGATTGGAAATATCAACTGTATGCTACTAAGTGCAATCACTGGATATTTTAGATAATGATGGGGGTTTATACACTTTCTAGTTATGAAAATTTTTGGCAAGACATGTTGTCGACCATCAATGACAAACATTTACCAAATCTAATACTTATTTGTGTTTTGCTTGCAAATGGATATTCCTTGGTTCTTCAGGCAGAAGTCCACTTCTTACCTGTTCACTTAGAGATCTTGCAATAGTGACAAAAAGGCAATAACATTGTAACGGTAATTATTTCTGTAATAACGTGGAAGCTATAAGTTTGACTATTGAATCTCAATTTAGAGCCATTTCATAAAAGGTGGACTTGCAGAATGCACGGTGCAATTATGATTGAATCATCTTTGTAAAGTACAAAATGTAGTAGCAATCTGTTCATTATCTGAGAGTACCAAAATCTTTGAGGGTATTCTGAAATTAGCAGATGTACCTTAAACTGTATATGGTCCTAGATTTGCCTTTCCTATTCATCTCCTCCAATGTAACTAATAGTAAGAAAATTTTCTTTTGGCTCTTTCTTGGCGGTTGTAAATGCAGAGTTGAGGAAGATATCCCCTTTAAGTAGGCTGCTTATTCGGAGTTATTTTGCACGATTCTGTTGAAAATGTGAGAAATTGGCTTCACTCTTTGCACATTCGTGACCTGTTACTGAGTGTTTACTGGCACCTTCTTGATTGCCTCTTCTTTCAATCTTCTTACATTCTCTTGTCAAGATAATATCTTCTTGATGAATTTGGACAAATAAAGTTCAATTTGACAGAACTAGGGAAGCTGTCTCTCTTTTCTTTGATGTTTTTGTCACTTCTCCTGTGCAAGAATTACTGCGGGTTACTGAGATCATATGATTATTTTAGGCCGGTGCACTCATGCTTGCGGACAATGGAATCTGTTGCATTGATGAATTTGATAAAATGGACATCAGGGATCAGGTGAGTTTTATTCCTTGCTTCTGTGACATTGGCCACATTTAAATCTGGTACTTAGGACTGAAATTGACTTTCGTTTTGAAGGTTGCTATTCATGAAGCAATGGAGCAACAGACAATAAGCATCACAAAAGCGGGTATTCAGGCAACTCTAAATGCACGGACATCAATCCTAGCTGCCGCCAACCCAACAGGGGGCCGTTATGACAAATCTAAACCACTCAAGGTGAGAGAATGAATTTTTGGAAGCCTTGTAGTTAAGACCTTTTCTTAATTGACTTTTTTGGAGCATTGTAGACTTATGATGCTTGACTAATTTAGTTATGCCTGTACCCAGTATAATGTAGCTCTACCTCCTGCTATCCTTTCGAGGTTCGATCTGGTATATGTAATGATTGATGACCCAGATGATGAGATTGATTACCACATTGCCCACCATATTGTGAGAGTTCATCAGAAACGTGAAGAAGCTATTGTTCCTGCATTTAATACTGCCCAACTGAAACGTTACATTGCATATGCAAAAACCTTGAAACCAAAGGTTTGTTTCTGATTTTTCGGCAGTGACTTTGTTCTTTGTTTTACAGAAAAGTATCTGCAGGTATATATCAATCATTTTAACCGGACTAATTAATGCAGCTGAGCTCAGAAGCAAGAAAAGTGTTGGTCGAGTCTTATGTTGCACTTCGAAGAGGAGATACAGCTCCTGGTAGCAGAGTTGCTTACCGTATGACTGTCAGGCAACTTGAGGCATTGATCAGGCTGTCTGAGGCCATTGCTCGAAGTTATTTGGAAACTCAGGTACTTTTCTTGAGTTCCTTGTCCCTTAATTTGGTATATTCGAGTAATATTTATTGAGCTGATGCTCTCTGTAGGTTCAACCACGCCATGTTGATGTAGCAAGGAAACTGTTGAAAACATCTATAATAAGGCAAGATCTCAGCAAAATTTTAAGATTTCCTTCTCACATTTAAGTGTTTTCCCCTGCCTTTCACTCCTCTCAGCAGCCACGTACTACTCAACCCATCTCACATACCATTATCACAATGTTTTTTGTGATTTGTTCTCGGTTTTTGTACTCTCATACAGTGTGGAGTCAACTGAGATTGATCTATCTGAGTTTCAAGAGGGAACTCGTGATTTGGGCGATAGCAGCGGTAATGGACCTGATGCTCCCGCCCAAGATGATGCTCAACCAGTAGATGCTGCGTCGGACGCGCAGTTTAGTAATGCAAGTGAGTGTGAAATCTCTACTAGCTTATTATTCTTGTGATTGTATTTTGGGTTTCAAAAAAATTTGATTATGGAAATGCAGACAGTGGAGCAAGTTCCGCTGACAAGCAACGAGAAAAGCTTGTGGTCAGTGATGAGTATTTCCAAAAGGTTACCCAAGCACTCATTATGTGCCTAAGACAGCATGAAGAAGCTGTCATGCGAGAAGGTAGATAATCCTTTCTCCTCTTGGCATATAAGTTGATCTAAAGGTGCATCGGTTGGAGATTGATTTTTTCCACTGGTTGTTACATATTGCCCGATGCTCTGCTCTTTGTATAAATGGTCCAGTGGGAACTTTCACTATTTGAAGTTTGTTGGCAGATGGATGCAATTTTTATGAGTTTCCTTATCTCTTGCAGGGGATGGATTGGTTGGAATGAGGCAAAGGGACTTAATCATGTGGTATGTCCATCAGCAGTTTGATGAAAATAATGATATCTCGGAGGAGGAAGCAGCGAGTGAAATCAAAAAAGTCAAAACTATCATAGAGGTACGATGCAATTGCTGAGAACTCTTTACCATTTATCACAAAAGTATCAACAGCTCTCATCATCATTCTCATGCCGAAAACTTTGTAATGCAGAGTTTGATAAGAAGAGAAGGTTATTTAATAGTTTTGGACGATGGTGTTCAGGCTGCCACAGAGGGCGAAGGTGCTAGACAGGCTGTTAATCGAAACGACAGAATTTTGGCCGTGGCCCCTAACTATGACCATGCTGCTCTCTAACTAGAGACTAGATGAACGGCACAATGCCTCCCTTAATATCACAGCAAATCTGCTATCTGTATATTTGCAAATTGTGGACTGGTGCTAGCCGGAACAGTGAAAGACAAATTGCCTGCTTTATTTTGTCCAACATATAGATGCTGGATTGGGTTATATAGACTGGAGGCCAACGCTTGATGTATTGATCTATGCTCCTTGGGTTCTTGTTTGTTGCTTTTAGTAACTACTACAGAATTAAGTGACATCGCCACAAAGAAGCAAGAGCCCACCTGTAGCACCTGGTCTTGATCATCATTAAATGTACTATAAACTTCTTTGTTGCTATGGAAAGCAGGAACCTTTATCCCCCTCTTGAAGACATGTCGGTTTAATTTTTTATTTCTTTCCTAGCAATCATAGAGGGGTTCTTGTTTTCTGGTTTTTTGGTGGAGTTCGAGAGGGTATGTACTTATCTTTAAGTTTAGTAAAGCTTTTGCATACTTAAATCAAGTAAACGATGATGATATGGAACTGAAACCAACCAATGACTTAATAAATTGAACTTGTCTGTTTAGTTCGAGTTTCCAGTATTTGTTAATTTGGAACTCGGTTCGGCATGAATTTAAAAGCTTTTTGCAAAGTGGACATGTGAATTCTTTCACTCTCCCTGAAGCCTTGTCATGATTGGTATGCAATGCATCCATTCTTTTGTCCTTTGAACCTGTACTTAGGCTTGGGAAAAGTGCGGAGTGAAGAAATTGGATACCAATTAGAAAGATTGAACGTTGAGCTAAGCAGGCATGGTCTTAATTGGTGGTGGAAACAAAAGCCGTAACTGTCAGTGGATGCTGTACTGATGTATGAGACTTTGTCCAATTTAGACAGGGAGAAATTTGTCAATAAGATGTTGTACTAATGTATCAATAAACTCGGATTAACTAACAACAGAGCCTGTCCATGTCAAGAAAGAGTTGTGTACTCAATAGCCAAAGTGCGTCATCTTTCTTGTAATTATCTTCTGGTTCCTGCAAACAGCAATTGACGCAGACTTCTCACTTATCCCCCCCGCCCGTGGTGAAGGAGACTTGGATGAGCCACCGACGAATTAGTCAAATACCGGATAAGAGGAGTCTAGATTAGGCACCAAGTTGAATGGTTATTGCATGAAGATAAAAAGTATCTTTCGATCTTTTTCAACATTCAATGCAAACGTAAATTATGCAAAGGTTCAAGAAGCGGGGTAAATATCATCAATCCGTAATAAGATTAGATTATTTTAGGACGCTTCAAGATACGGGAATTCTTCCCACAACAATCAACATGTTCGGATGGAGATTGTCTATATCAGCGCACACTACTCTGGATACTTAATCTTATGTGTCATGGGTAATTTGTGAAGTGGGTCAATGTTGTTTGTTCTCCACAAGATTATCTATGTTCTTCTATAATTGATAAGAGAATTGCCCCTCCGTTGAAACTCTATTATAATCAATTCTTGCAATCCCCATATATTTTTGCCCAAAGTACGCAATAAAGGTGCAATTATTTGATTTAACTATATAGGCAGAGCTAAAATTACGCGAAAGAGAGTAATTGGGAACTCTCTTGAAATATTTGTAATCAAATGGTACAAAGTCACCGATGAACTTTTACAAAATATTCAATCATACCTCTAAATCTTTTTGTGGCCTATTGGGTTCTTGATCTCCTAAATTTTGTGTTCATCTTTAGAATGAAATATATACAAATAAAATTCGAAAAGTATGACGTGGAATAAAAATCTCTCTCTATTTCTCACCTTTTATTCTACAAATAACACTTTCTGGTCTAATCGGCACTAATATGACAACACGTGTCAGCTTTTTTCTTTTAACGCATATTTAATCCTGAATAACCAACACGAACAAAAAATATTAGGAGTTCAAGGATTTAATAAATAAGTTTCGTAGGACTTGATGAACATTTTGCAAAGGTTCGAGAACTACCGATGCCTTTCTCCCTACTCAAATCAAATAAAATGGTGACAACTTGGTTAATATTGATTTTAATAAAGTGTATAAAAATGAGAAATTGAACTCAAGACATCTAACTGAAACGGCAATTACAATTGAGTGCAGAAACTATCTTCTCTAATCAAATAAAATATTAGAGAATAAAGTGTTTCAGGTAAAGCACTATTGTAATGCAAGTAGTGATAGCATTATTAGATCTAGGCAAACTCTAAAATTGTAACAATTAGATAATGGAGATCAAGGTTAGTCACGGTGGGTATAAGCTTCATCATCAGGAGGGAAACAAATTCAGATAACACGTTAAGATCCCTACATGATCGTATAGTGATAAGATAGGTGCATGTATGGATACAATCAGGAGACTTGTTTAGAAGCAATCGTACTAATTAAAGTATATATAATAGCTCACTGATTGAGCGCTCTCCCATCCAAGACAGATGGGGCTAAGCAAGTTGTTTGAAATACCTTCGGATATACTTTGATGAAATTTGTAGGTAAAGTTTTGACATTGAAATTCTGCAAGGAATTGCTTTTAACACTAACGAGTCTATTATCAAGAACAAGGGAAATTCATGGCAAATTTCCCCCCCGTCTGTTTGTTTGGAGGTTGGTGCCAAAGATGTGGGTTTGATTCCCTCTTCTGCTTGTCTTTATCTACGACCATAGACCTATCATCTCAATATAACGTGTATTTATGCACCTTGATGGTTGCAGTTTCTTCTAAGAGTGGATAAGTATAATTTAAAATAGAATTGCTTAGGTTGCTAGGGATGGTCAGCTTGAATTCATCGAAAGCTCCTCTCCCACCAATAAATGAGTACCTTCGACATTTTCCCTCCGAGAGTCGTCACATTATACGTATAAGTCCTTGGATTGGATACACGATGATCTGTCGAATGGCGTACATGTACACCATGCCTGAACTTGTCCTCTCTCTCTCTCTAAACGGAAAATCCACCATTCGAAAAGCCAATCCGGTGCTGTCTAGAGATTCTGCATCTGATTACAAGGGTGCATACGAACAAACAGGCAAATGTGCTGGTCGAATTTCATCAAATGTTCATGAAGGTGGTGGGACGTAGCTTAGCTAATATTTGGATGTCGTGTTATGGGAATCAAAATGGGGGAGGAGGTGGGGGATCATCGACGCCCTAATTGGGGCTGTGTACCAGCGAAGCCACGTGAGATTCCATTGACTCTCAATCAATCTTTTACAGATAGACATCAGGGCAACGTTGGAGGTAGGCCCCGCGCTCGAGATTGCCACCTTTGAATGAACGAGCTTTGTTTAACGTCGCCATCGGCCCAGCTGTCTTTCTCCTGACCATTTTGCCTCTATGCCCCCGAGCGAGCCACCTGAAGCGAGGGGCTCCCGAGGTCATTTCGCTCCCAGTTGGCCGATACCAACCAATCATGAAGTGGGCAAGTTCTTCTGAATTTCAAGACCAAGAAACCTGTCCATTATTCTATCATCTTACGTGAAGTGATGCTTTGATGCGTGTATATTTTTATCTCCCTCTCTCTCCCTCTCTCTGTTGGGCTCTATATGTGCCTTGATTGGAAGGGACAGTTGGGCTATCTGTAATCCACAACAATCCCTCCCCATCCCAGGTCGAACGTATTCGCTTACAGACAGCACCAAGAAGAGACGTAACAGCACGAGTAAGTTCAGCTCAGATGCTTCGCCATATAATGTTTGATTCCTCTCCACCATATCTGAACTTCATAGGTTTCTATTTTCCTTTGTTCATCTTACTCACCTTGTGGGGATTTGCTTCTGTTTCTGTCTTCTATAGTAGGGAGTGAGACATGGGTTACTGGACATCGAAGGTGCTTCCGAAGATCAAGAAAGTGTTTGACAAGAACGGAAAGAAGACTGCGGCTGTGGAGGCTTGCAAGTCCTTTGATGATTCTAAGGTCCCTTGAGGGTTGAGATATGGTTTTTCCTAGCCTGGTTAACGTGGCTAGCTAGCATAATTAATTACATCTCTACAGGTTTATTGATTTGTGTGGTTCCTTGAACAGGGGGAGATGGACAAGGAGTTCGAGGAGAAGAAGACAGAGCTTCAGCCTAAAGTAGTGGAGATATATGAGGCTTCCTCCGTAGAAGTTAAGGTACGAGTTGAACATCAACACTTCGATCCAACATGTGTATATTATCTCTAGTCCTATGTCTATACATACGACCTAAGAATAACAAGTGCGCTTGGTATGCCGTGCAACAAACAGGCTCTTGTTAAGGAGCCCAAGGAAGTAGGACTCAAGAAGCACTCAGCCGCTGTCAACAAGTTCCTAGAAGAGCTCGTGAAAATCGGTACTCTTTTCTTTTATTTTTTTGACGACTTGTCACTTAACTTAGCATATATGCATCGATGTCTCATGTGATTAGTGTGCGCATCATATGTACAAGTGCTTTAATGTATGTGCCTTGTATTTCTCTGTACGTGTATCATCCTTATCTATGAGAGAAGCAAGTATGCATGATCTGATTTTGCATGTACGCACTCTTGATCACCTATATGTAATTAATTATGGCTTTGCAGAGTTTCCTGGATCGAAGCCAGTGTCCGAAGCGTCGACAAAGTATGGACCAGCCTTGGTATCGGGGCCCGTGTTATTTGTATTTGAGAAGGTGTCCACCTTCATAATCACTGAGGAGAAGGATGTTGAGGCTCCTCCTGCCGAAGCAGCAACTTCTGGAGAGGCAACTGCGGTAGTGGAAGAGAAGGAGGAGATCGTCATCGAAGAAGAGAAGAAGGAAGAAGCGGCCGTGGAGGCCCCGGAGCCTGCCAAGGAGGCTGCGGAGCCACCCAAACCATAAGAAAGGAAAAAGAAAGGAGCAGTATCATCAACCATATATAGTGAAACTCTGTGCACAAGGTTTACACGATACCGTGACAAAAGCTGATTTGTTTATTCTTTTGTAGCAAGTCCACCTCTTCTCCTTGTATCTCCGTCTTTATTTGTTTATATTTCGTGAATCAAACATGTAGTCCTTGTTTTGTTTTCATTTTTCCTGAATCAATCAATTAGTTCGGTTGTCACTTGTTTCGGGTGTGGTCTCTGGGATGTTGCAACGCGATCGCGATGAAGCGGCGGCTGCTGCTTTTGATCTTCAAGACCTTTGATCTGGAAATCACTCTTTTAAAGTGATTTTGTTCATATTTCAATAATTAGATCACTGGGAAGTTGGTGAACTGAACAATGCAGTCATCATTCATTACTAAAGGTGCCCAGACCAAGCTGCTATATTTCGGTCCTTTTTTATGGAGAATCCACGAGGGAATCATGGTTGGAAACCCAGGAAACTCAATGGTAATGGTGCAAAATGGCCAAAATAGAAGCAAACTATTAGAATCCAAGGAACCAGCTAATCTGACTTTCCAGTGATCAGGATGCACAGCAACTCGTAAAATCCAAAATCCAGAATGACCGATCCATACCTAGTTCACCACCAGAAGAACCTGATAAAACCTTCTCTCCAGGGGAAGTATCAGGAGACATGCGCAACCGGTGTCCAGCAGCAAGCAACCACACCAACAAGCTGATTTTCTTGCGGAACCTAGTCTTTAATTTTATATAGTTTGTTCCAAGACATATTAAATCCTGAATCTTCATAGAGAGGGTTCCAAAACATATTCATTTCCGATTCTCCCTCATGAGACTTTATCTGGCAATTCAGTTCACTAATCTTCTTTTCCAATTCCACAACAGTCTCTTCTAATATTCGACAGTTCATTTCACTCATGTTCTTTTCCAATTCTACAAGAGTCTCCTCTGATATCGGATTTTTCCCCAACAAGTCACCTTCCTATAAATGAAAAGCAACCATAAACTTACACAAAGTGAATATATTGACACAAAAAAAGGGCAATTGAATAACCTACGCTGACAGCTAATGATTTCCTAGGAGAGTCGCAATATGTAGACGGTAATTCAAAATGCACGTCATGTCACATACCTTGACCTCTGGGTGAGATGGATCATCTGTTGGCGACGAGCGGGGTTTTAGTGCATCAACAACAGAGACGATCTCTGCATTGGAATCCTGCAAATTGTGGTTTCATTTTCGTGAGCTTCTAAGGTCGAGAAAAACTAAGTTCAATTTTAAGAAGTCAAACAAAGAAAATCCAGTGATTAACCGCTTTTTCTGGATCTGGAACCGCTCGCTTGTTCCATGGACCCACCCGAGAACCACTACTAGATGCATTAGATGTCTAAGTGAATCATGACGTTGGTTGTGGCGGTGGAATTCTTTCAGAGGTATGGAGTCTGTTCCCTTGTTGGTCTACTTTGCATAAATGTCTAGATAGAAAATGGGAGTAACCACCTTCTGGAAGGTCCTACACAGCAGAGTTTATAGGTTTCATGTGTCAAATGCTGAACAAGTTTGTTGGTCTTATTTATTCTTGTATAACGAAGTCATGATGCACCTAGGGCCATTAAATCTCTCTCCTTATCTCCAATTGAGCATTTAAGTACACCTAATTCTGTCATTGTCATATGGTAAACAGCTGCAAATGTATCATGCTCAATAACGAGGTCTAGGTTTCTTTTATTCTCAAACAGGTGTACAACTGTCAGTTGCACATGCTATCCTATTGGCTGATTTTGTTATGTTACAATGAGAACATTTTTTTTAATAGTAGGAATAAGGAGTTTATCTTAGGCTGTGTTGAAGTTTCTTCAATAGTTCTTATATCTAAATATCTCTATCATTCGATGCTGGAAGCTGGACTTTGAGGTAGCTTCCATCACAGTAATATCAAGAATATGGACACGAGTCATTAGCATTGGTGGTGTGGCAGTGGGAATGCAGCACCATATGTTGGAGCTTGATAAGATGACCTTTTTGGCAAAAATGCTGGTCCCCAACCATCAAGGCTGCTGGTTTTGCTCTATGAGCGACATGAGGATTTGACATGGACTGTTGCACTCGCGAGGCTTGTTTTTTGCAGTATTTAGTTTATTTAGTGCAGATGGTTTGAGTCATAAAAAAAGCAAGAAGGCAGCAGCATTTATTTTAAGAAAGTAAAAACAGCTTTAATTTACCAATGATAGCATAATTTCGATAGAGGAACATATCTGCCTAGTTATTACTTGTCATGCAAATGGCCGGTTAATCATCTGTCGTACCATATACCAACTGTTGCCAATGTGCTGGATGGTGTGAATTGTAAATTGAGTCTCATTCTATTGCTGTGGGAGCATAAATGGTGTATGAACTACAATTGTAATTTATGGTTAGAAATTGATCAGTAGAGAGGATGGTGTACTCATTTTATTGAAATAACACAATATTGGTTTGCTTTGAATTCCACTTATGTTGCATTTTGAGTTCGTTCAGTATATTTGGACATCATAATCCATCTTCAATGGTTCAAGTGGAGAGGGGTATCGGTTAATACTTGTCTTTTTGCCTCTTCAGCCGTTGGCCAGGATGGGAGCTTCAGTAACAGGTGTGGATGCTGTGGACAAAAACATCAAGATTGCACGCATTCATGCTGTATGCTCATTTCTCTAGCGCAAAAATTAACATTTTCTCGTGAAAGTTCCACAGCATAAGTACTACAGTGATTAACTTCTGTTATTGATAGAGTTACTTCAGTAAGGATTCTATAGTAACTAGAACTCTAAAAACATTTTTAATATGTACATGCATTGAATTCATCTGATATTATCAGTGTAAAATCCAAAGAACAAACCTACAGATGCCATTAGGATTGCAGTTTATTTGTGAAGTTTCAGACTGAAGCATACAGTCTGAAGATTCTAAGTAACATAGAGTGAGCTAGATATTTTGAATTACTTCGAAGTTGCCACCGATCAATACTTGGGAATAGTCTCTTCATCTATGAATTACTCCAGCTATCGAGAATTTTCTGGCAGAATGTGTAATTGACTGTGAGTCTACAAATCATTTTACTATTGTTCAGTCCTTTTGCATTCTGATTGTTCTAGTTTGATTATCATTGTCAATTGCTATGAAGCTGGTGATACATTTTACTTGATAATCAACTTCTGGATTGATGCTGCAAATCCTTTTCAGATTTCCTGGTTGACATTTGAAGTGTTGCCATAAATAAGTATTGCTCATTACAGATTTGTTTTCCCTGATGAATATTTGGACTTGAGTGATACTACCAAGTGTAATTTCTTGGTTAGCTGAAGCAATTTTTGCTAATGACCATGATCAACTTTCAACTTTTATCTGGATGCTTGTAACATTCTTTATCAACACAGGATTTGGATCCAGTGACTTCAACGATTGAATACTGCTGTACAACGGCTGGTATGTTCATCTTACACGTTAATCAAGCATTATGCTCTAGTAGTGATTCACTTAGACATCTAATGCATAAACACAACTCCAAACACGAAATTTTGAGCAAAAATCATACCGAAACAGCGATCAAAGCGCGGCCGAAGAAATCACCTGAGACGCCTCCATAAGCCAAAAATATCTTTAATCTCTGCAACCCAGGCGACCGAGCGAACCCCTCCCTCCCCCAGATCAGGTCGAAGCTCAGATCGTCGAGCCCGCAGAAACCCTAACGAACGACGGCTCGAGCGAGAGTGAGGGGGACCGACGGTGTGTGAGAGTGGAGAAGCGGAGAGAATTTTGAGACAGAGCAAGGGAACCAGGGTTTTCAGGGGAACCGGACCGGTTTAGTCCGGTCCGGTCCGGTTCAAGCGGTACTCGATTTTGTTTGCAAACTAAAAATAATTGGAAAGAAACAGAACTGACTAAGCTCACGGTATTTCGACGTCTCTGATTGTGGGCCCGTCTCTTGGGCTCTTCAATTTGTGTCCAGCAAAACCTCTCTGTTGATACCAACTTCCAACGTAATTGCATAGGCTTCGAGTTGCCAGATTATCTAATGCATGCACGGAACGAAGAACTTAAGAATGCCATTTAAAGTAAGAAATGACCACCACATTGCAACAATAAAGGTCGAAATACAATATGATGAACATTATCCACCTGATTATCTCTTAGTTTCTCAAATTCTTTAGTAGTCCTTAATCTTGTAACGATCTTATTCTTATAGGCAAGATTAGAGAGAGTTAAAATTACGGTAAAGAGAGTAATTGGAAACTTCGATGAAACATTTATAATCAAATGGATAAAGTCACGGATGAACTTCACAAAATATTTAATCAAATCCTTAAATCTTTCTGCGGCCTATTGAGTTCTTGATCTCCTAATTTTTGTGTTTAGCTTTTGGAATGAGATATGTATAGATAAAACTCGAAAAGCGTGAAGTGGAGCAAAAAGTATTAACAAAAAATTGAACTCTCTCTCTCTCTCTCTCTCACATTTTATATTACAAATAACACTTTTTGGTTTAATCAACACTAAAATGACAATACATGTCAGCTTTTTTTTTTTAACGCATATTTAATCTTGAATAACCAACACGAACCAAAAAAAAAAGAAGGAGTTCAAGGATTTGATAAATAAATTTCGGAGGACCTGATGAACATTTTGTAAAAGTTCAAGAATTACCTGTGCCTTTCTCCGTACTCAAATCAAATAAATGGTGACAATTTGGTGAATATTGATTTTAATAAAGTACATATAAAAATGAGAAATTGAACCGGAGACATCTTACTGAAATGTCAATTAAAATTGAGTGTACAAACTATCTTCTCTAATCACAAAATATATTAGAGAATGGGCGTTTCAGGTAAAGCACTATTTTGATGTGAGCAGCGAAAGCACCATTTTGTGGGCTCCCTGGAGTGTTGCAACGTGAATAGGTCATGTGTCTTTATTATTCGGAAAATGAAACGAAGTGCATAATCTTACGTATATAATTAGTAAAATAACAAAGGGATACATGAGTGACCAAAAAAAATAAATAAAGGGATACATGCGCAGAAGTTTTAAAACATGTCACAAAAGTACAATTGAGTAATAAAACTTTTAAAAAGTACAAACAGGTCTTAAAACTTGTCAAATTAGTTCAATCAAATCCTTCAGTTAGCTCTGTCCAATTAGGCTAATGAAAAATGCTGGCGTGTTTATTTTATTATTTTCTTAAGACACGTGGCGATGACGTGGCACCCACTAAGCATATTGAAAATTAAAAAAAATATACACAAACTAATTTAGATTAAAAAAATAAAAAAGCTAAAAAAAAACTCAACTCTACAGCTATGGTTGTGCCCTCATCGGTGGCTGCCGCTACATCTATCAGGAAGGGCTGGCAAAGTCCAATTAAAAGGTGTATGACTGAATTAGTACCAATACAATAGGTTTAAGAATTTTTTGGTACATTTCGCCAATGCAAAGCGATTTGTCCTTTCTCATTCTTTTCCTGTATTCCTTGTACTCCATGTCCCATTGCCATTGTTACTTCCGATGCAATAATGTGTTTATGTAGCGTCGAGTACCATCGATTCTCTCTTCCTTTCATCGCTTTTGCAACAGTTCGTTTGCTAGTTGATTTCGATTTTCTAGAACCATGTGAGGAAGAAAATGTCGGGACTATGAATTTTTTATTCTAGCAAGATCTCGCCTAATTCAAACGCGATGTATTTAGGCAAACCATACAGCGCGACAGACGTGGATTTCCGATGGCTAGTCAATGTACACAAGAAGCTCTGAAAGCATTCACATAAGATTGATTTGTAATTCAGCTGAAAATCATCGCCTTTTTTTTGAATTTTTTGGTTGTATGACTGACTTGCACAGTCAACAATGGGTTGGGCTGACATTTACGTCTGGATAGGCCCAAAGCCCGGATCCCAAATACAGACCACCGGGTTAAACCTCGCACCAACTGCATCAATGCTCGTCAATGGCAGTAATCACTATTCAATCCCGCACTTCTCTTGCTCTCTCCACGTGAGGAGCTCCAAGTTCGGTTCCTTGTCGTTGCTGCTTCCGGCCACTAGCTCTTCCAATCGATTGCATGTCCGAGTCGCAGGAGCCGAGGTGTGCGGCTCTACAGCACTAAGAAGCCGTTAGAAATGTATTAGGCAATGTGTGAATGAACTTATCTAAGGCCTTTTAGCCAAAAAAAGAACTTATCTAAGGCTTTCATCAAATATCTTAGCAATGCAACCTACAAGAACCGTTAGAAATGTATTAGGCAATGGCATTAAGAAGCTGAAACTGAAAACTTGTCGAGAACAGTTATAATGACACAAATTAGGGAAAAGAGACGGAAGAGATAAATAACTTATCTGCTCTTATAAATTTTGCAATGAGTAACCAAGGAACTAATCATTCTATCATCTGTCCGGCTAGTCCTTGTATTGTCTGGGAACAACTAGTGTCAAATTTTTATTATTGCGATAATTACAACACCTTTGAAATTAACTTTACTCACGCTTTTGGAATGGTCCTGAAGGCCTTGAATCAATCTGTATGGGAGTTACTGAACTTTCTTCCTAATATTTTGGGTTCAAGTTTGAGGGAAGAAGGGGGAGAGATCATTGTCTTTAATGATGAGAACTAACACTCCAAACGATTTTTCTTGTAGATCATTTATGCATCTGCTTTTATATATATATATGGTAAAAAATATACAACTGTTTGTTTGGCGGATATTCCTAATGAGCCTTCTGATGTTTTTCCTCTTAACTTAATTTATCATGAACGATGTTTGGCAGCAAGGTAGATAAGGTGTGTGAAGCAGTTTCCATGATGTTGTTGAGAAGGTTAATTTTGCATCTTGTAAGTGAAGTTGCATTTTAATCTCTTTGCCACTTTCAGTGGAGGTTTCTTCGAACGAGAGGGGAGGACAAAGGATCGTGGGGTACCCTAAGTTTTCATTTTGTACAATCGATATATCTAGTGCATTCATAATGTTTTTCTAATTGTGTCATTTTTATGATAAAGGACAATTTGGTGCTTTATTCCCGATAGCAGACACATATGCAACACGGGTATAATAGCCAGAAACGTGCTATTTTCATTTGGCTCGAGAATAACCTTAATTTAGGACATTATTGCATCTTTTTTGGAAGTTGTAAGCATCACAAAATGGGTGTAAGCAATGATTTGCCTCCAATATCGATATATAGCAAAAACAGATGGAAGGAAAGTGAAGTCCTTTTTTTGGTGTTTCTTAACAAGAAATAAAAGAGCTTGATCCTCATCTTCAATCTTAACGTGGTAAAACATTTTTTTCTTTTTTGGCTGAATAACATCAAGCAGTCAAAGCAAATAACCTATCATGCAATTCGCAAGTTTTGTTTCTCATCGATCCTTGAGATCAAAGCAAGAGAAAAGACAATACAATCTGACACAAGAAAATAATTCTAATGCTGGTGTATAATATAGTACAACAAATCGTACATCAATCTATAGTTCCTTGCATCAAGGGAGTAATCGACCCATGTGAAAGGCAGAGAGATCTTCGGAACTTGGAATTCTGCTTCGCTTCAACAAAGACCCCAGCTTCTTATATCTCTCGCCTGGAGCCTAGAGAAAGGAAGAGTGTTGCAAGAGGTTATGGCTTCGGTTTAGTCAGGAAAGCTCTAGATTGGCTAATCGAAGCTTGGTTTCAGGGTTTCCCGATCAGCCTCTCACTGTGCACTCAAGGAGGTGATTCACCTGAGAGGTCAATTTGCCGGCGCCTTTATGATCAGAATGGCACTGGTCACTCGGCCTTGAGGAACCTCTACTCCCTCTCTCTAGTTTTCTCTCTCTCTTGGGAATTCTGTCAAGTAGGTTGTATGTGTGAAATTGTTTTTCCCACCCGTTTTCATCTCTTCCCCGTGGTGGTTCAGACCTCTAACCGCCTTCCCGATGACAGCTGGAGGTCCCCAGTTGTCAATCTCTCCTCGGCACATGCTGGAATGGGGGGAATTAGGTCAGTGAAGGGGCGGGCCAGACCGAGTTTTTCCTTCCCTTCCTAGTCCAAGGTAGAGTCGAGTAAGGAAGATGGTGTTTCGGATCGGGTCAGGTTGGCTCCGACCGACCTGTCTGACCCAGTTTGACTAAAATTTCAAATTAAACCCCAATTTGACCCATTTTCATGATTTTGATCCCAAATTTCAATTCCTTGACACATTTTACCCTAAAATATGGGATCAATTTGAATTTTTATTTCAATTAAGCTTGAAATCTCCAAATTTGAACTTGATTCAATTGGGATTTTATCCAATTAAGTGTCCAAATGACCTAATTAGGCTGTTCCAAGGCCAAAATTGGAGTTCCCATGATCAATCACCCTTAGGGGAGGTATAGGCTTTGATCGAAAATTTCAAATTAAATGAAATTCCCAATTTGGGTCCTGAAGTCCCTAATTTTCAATTAATTTTGGGGCTTTTCAATTATTTTGTCAAATTGTGAAATTGGACTGACCACTATGCAATTAAAGGTCCCAAAATCAATTGTTGTGAAAATAAAATAGCCCAAAAATGACTAGAAATGACTTGATTGGATTTTTAGTTCAATTAGGATATGAAATTACCCAAATTTGGGGAAAACATATTCCCAATTGAAATTTTGTAAAATTAAAGTTCTAGGGATAAAATTGGAATTAAAATAAGACTAATGACTATTTTTTGGAAGTTTTTGGATTTCATTTGGTATTTTTCTTGATTTTATTTTCATTTTTATCAAAAGAAATTGAGGAAAAATTAAAGAAAAATATAATTTTTTTTTCGTTAATTTTCATTTGGATTTCATTTGGTATTATTTTCTTTTTGCTTTTATTTATTCCCTTTGACCCGGAATATTTATTTGTGACTAATCATCCTTAAAAGAAGCCCACTTAGGAGAGTTTTGACCAGCATTATTGTACTTTTTCTACCTGCAAAAGAGCCTTATTGTACTTCGAAAGCACATATCCGTAATTTCACGGACAATAGGCAGATAAAGCCCATTTGGCTATTTCACCTGTAAATATTCAAAATCAGGCAGATAAGCCTGGTGGGGCATCCACGTCCACACCCCCCTTCTACAAAAAAAGACGTTAGCCATACCCACCCCTCCCTCCCCTCCCGCCCTCCCTCTCTGTGAGTCTGCCATGGAAATGTTCACTCCTCGACACTTCCTTATCTCTAATTTTCACCAAAGGGGTCATTTGAACTTC